TCGCAATTCATGGCTCCCAGATGCCGCACGGTAGGTGGTCTGACCCGTTTCGCTTGAGACATCCTCGCAGCTTTGGGCTCCGCATTGGCTGGGATGGAGGTGGTCTGGCCCGTTTCGCACCAGACATCTTCTCAGTTCTGGGCTCCGGTGGTCCAGCCCGTTTCGCACCAGACATCTTCGCAATTCTGGGCTCCAAGATGGCCGGGATTGAGGTGGTTTGAACCGTTCCGCCTGAGACATCTTCTCAGCTTTGGGCTCCGAGATGCCGCGCGAGAGGTGGTCCAGCCCGTTTCACTCAATGAAGACATCCTCGCAATTCTGGGCTCCCAGATGCCAGGATTGAGGTGGTCCGAACCAGACATCCTTGCAATGCTGGGCTCTGGGATGCCGCCCGAGACGTGGTCCAGCCCGTCTCGCCTGAGACGTTGTCTTGATTCTGGGCTCAGAGATGCCGCGCACGAGGTGGTCTGGCCCGTTTCGCCTTTGACACCCTCGCAATGCTTGACCCCAAAATATCTCCCACAAAGTGGTCTGGCCCGTTCGCCTTGGCCTTCCAGAGGAAGGAGGGTAAATCATTGCGAACACGCCAGACGGGGGACCGCCCCCCCCCCCCCCTTCCCCTGGAGGGGTCCAGGGAGGGCTCCGAGGGGAGAGTCCTGGGGGGGCGCCCCTGGCGCTCCCCGAAACGGTTTGAGGGTGCGCAAACCATTAAGAAAACGCCAGATGGAGGACCCCCCCTTCCCGCCCTTCCCCGGCAGAGCCACCCCGGCGACTCCACCCCCAAGCAGAGCTGCAGCTCTTGCTTAGGCTCAGAGCTGAGGCTCCTGCTGAGGCCCCTTGTAGTTCACACGCCAGATCGGCGGATTTTGAAGTTGAACGTCTTGATCTTCTCATACTCGGACGTGCCCACTGGAAGTTCCATGCGCGCGGGGTTCATGAGGGCTGAGTTTTTGAAGCCAGTCCTGAACATCTTAACGATCAAATCCAATACTTCGCTTGGGATAATACAATCTCCACATCGATTCTCAGTGCACACAAACATACATTTTGAGTGTATCTTCTCCATCCTGAGGCAATCGACGTTTCTGGCAATATCGCTTACGTCCTCAAAATGTGATACCACAGGCGCATCGGGCTGCAAGTAAGGGCTCTTGATCGCCATCATATCACCCGTGACATTCGATCTGCTTTTCTCTCGGGAGGCTTTCATGACGCCGCGTGAAAGAATCCAAGCCCAAACCGCTTGAGCCAAATATCTACGGACCATGCAAGCATATGCAGCCGAGCATTGCAATTCCGAGCATGCATTGTCGCAATTACATTGCGTTGCATTATTGCAAAGTTTCTTAAGAAACACTGATCGCGTTCACACGCAAACCTGGACCATAACATTCTGACTGCTGAATCAAGAAATTCCTACCAGTGCATGCGATTCTGGACGCACATATATGTAAAAACGCGACGCAACAAGTTGGTCCTCAGGCAAGCACCTGGAAGTTAGCGAACTGACTAACTTTGTTAACCCAAGGTGCCTACGCCCAACTACGTCATCCGAGTAAGCCGACTTAGTAACGCTGCTAGTTGTTCTAATTTACTCTTAACATCGTTGCAACTAGGTTACAATCTATTTACAACTCGCGCTAACAGACACTACCCCCCAGGCCCTTCAGGCAGGCGCTCGGGGAGCAGGAGGAGGAGGAGGAGGAGGAGGATCCCGAGGAGGAGGAGGATCGGGAGGAGGAGGAGGAGGAGGAGGAGGAGGAGGAGGAGGAGGAGGTTCTCGAGGAGGAGTAGGAGGAACAGGGGGGGGGGGAGGGAGGAGGAAAAGGAGGAGGAGGGAGGATATGAGGAGGAGGAGGAGGAGGAGGAGGAGGGGAAGGAGTCATGATCCGGGAGAGGGAGGCGAGATGGAGGAGGAGGAGGAGGAGGAGGAGGAGGAGGAGGAAGAGGAGGAGGAGGAGGAGGGGAGGAGGAGGAGGGGGAGGAGGGACGAAAAGGAGGAGGCGGAGCAGGGCAGGAGCAGGAGGCGGACGCGGAGGAGCAGGATGTAGGAGGAGGAGGAGCGAGGAGGAGGAGGAGAGGAGGAGGAGGACGAGATGGAGGAGGAGGAGGAGGAAGAGGAGAGGAGGAGAGGAGGAGGAGGAGGAGGAGGAGGAGGGAGGAGGGGAGGAGGAGAAAAGGAGGAGGCGGAAGCAGAGCAGGAGCAGGAGGAGGACGCGGAGGAGCAGGATGAAACAGGAGGAGGAGGAGGGAGGAGGAGGGGAGGCGGAGGAGGGGGAGGAGGAGGAGGAGGAAGAGGAGGATCTCAAGGCGGAGGAGGGGGAGGACCTACAAGGTGAAAGCGTCCCAGGAGCTCTCGCCCAGTCTGGAGGAGATGTTCGTGGACTGCGACGCTGAGCTCTTCCTCGTGCTGCCGCGGCTGGTGTGGATTTACTACATTGCAGGGCCCAGCCAGCCCTGCGCTGGGCTTGTGCGGCACCTCCTGCCGCATCGCTTCGAGGTCGGCCGTTTACTGTCTGATGCGACCATGTATCTAATTCCTATTGTCTCCGTCTCTGATTCTGACCATGTCTCTGACTCTCGCCCCCTCTGTCTTCCACTCGTTCTCTCTCCCTCTATGTACTCTGTCTCCCTCCCTGTTTTTGTGCTGTTTCTCTCTCTCTCTCTCCCCCTGTAACTCTCTATTTATCTTTGTTTGTTTCTCGCTCTGCCTCTTTCCACGCAACAATGTTATGGTGTAGAACTACTCAAGTGTGCTTTAGGTTGTATACATATAGGTTTACATGTATGAGTATATACATGTGTACACCTATACATATATACATACCTTTATATATATATATAGGAACGGCCCCCCCAGCGATCCCACCAACGCGCCCACCGAGCGAATCCGAATAATTTATTGTTTCGTTCACAGCTTGCGCAGCTCACTCATCCGCCCAGCCCAACTGACCGCGCAAGAAACCACCGCAACCGGAAGTTATGGATGTTTCTTTAAAATGATTTTTTGTTGGTTGTTCAGTTGTCGCGGTTACTGTTGGCACGTGCTTCGATTTCACATGCATCGCGTTCTCGTGGGGTTGCTTCATTGCCACTTGCAGAGCGTCTCCCGCAGACCTTCCCTTCGACGTGCTGGCGCGAGACCGAGTGGCGTGCCTGCGCGGCGCGGCCTGTTTAACACGACGCGCGTGCGCGCAGTTCAGAGGAGTTTACATTCGTAGCCGCCTGATTGTTGCGGCACCGCGCCATATTTGTTTGCGCGGCGCGTAACGCTCTTTTCGGATGCCATTTGCGCGTGTTTTGCATGGGCGGATCGCCTTGGCGCAGCGATGCTTCGCGCGGCGTGGTTCGGCCGCTTTTGCGCGATGATGCGCCCGTTTGCGTGTGTTGTCAGAGCGGCTCTGCGTGACGGCGTGTCCAGTAGCGATTACCATGCCGTTAAGTTTGTTCCTCGTGGGCACGCGGGCCCCCTGCCCTTTTTCGCTTCTTCGCGGCACGCCAAATTGTTGGAGTGTCTATAAGTTTGTTTCGTTGGGCGCTTGCGCATGTGATTTTTTTTGTGAGCATTGTTCATTTGTTGTCCACCTTTCGCGCGACCTCTTCTGGTTGCTTTCCCCCTCGTCCACTCGCACTATGTTTTGATGGTGTTTTATTGCGCACGTCTCAAGGTGGAGGGCCCGGCCCGCTCGTGGAGGGCGCGACACTGTTGACAAGTCATACGCGTCGCGCGGTTGTGGTAGAAACCACGGCGCGTGCGTCATGCCGATCTGTTCGCGGCAAGTCCCGCGCACCGCGACCGCGCAGCACTCGGCGTGGCGAGACTTCGAGCACCGCCACGAAAACCATAACGCGCGACATGTCGCCCATAGCCTTGCAAGGGCCGCAACATGTGACGCGCTCTTCCGCGCCGCTTCGGGGCGCACTCCTTCGTCTACGTCGTCGCCCTCCCCCTTCCCACGTCCCCCACGTTGTCACCCTCCCTTCTTCCATTTCGTTCTCCTTGTCACATTGTTGCGTCTCCTGGGGTTCTCACGTGGCACACATGGACAACATGTGGTATGTCATGGGTTACTGTCGGGTTGTCATGGGGGCCTCCTGGGACACTCTTGAGTCGTATATGGGGCTACCTGGGACATTAGGGGCCCTCTTGGGCCGTCGTGAGTTGCCTAGGGGGTATCTTGGTGCCGTCTTGGGCCGCGTTCGCCTCCATGCTGGTTTTCTTGCTTTGCCTGGGTTGGGTCTTCAGTTACCCCCAACCCCACTAGGTCTGGTACCAGACCTCCCTTCCACCTCCAACAGGTCTGGTGGGATGCCCACCTTCCACGTCGACCAGACCTCCCAGCGGGCCCTCCTCCGGCGAGGTGGAGGGGACCTCCACCAGACTTCCTCTGGTTCTCCTGGAGACCTCCGCCTGATCCCCCCGAGGGCTTGGGGAGGCCTTCCGGAGGCTTCCCTTGGTTTCCACAAGGTGTGGCGAAAGGCTTCCCACGGCCCCTGGGAGCACCAGGCGAGGCCTCCCCCAGGCTTCCGGGACGACCAGGGGAGGTCTCTGGGAGGCTTCCCCTGGTTCACCTGGAAGCCTCCGATGAGAGTTCCCGCAGGGGGGGGGTCTCCTGTGGGAGGCTTTCGGGGGGACCAGGGGAAGCTTCCAGGAGACCTCACCTGGTCCTCCACCAAGTTTCCCCCCAGCGGCCCGGGAGGACCAGGGGGGGGTTCCAGGGGGCCTCCCCTGGTCTCCCCGGAAGTTTCCCCTTGGAGGGAACCCTGCCAGATTTCGAGGTCTGGGGGAGGCTCCCGGACCCTGGTCCTCGGGGAGGATTCCCAGCGGGCTTGCAAGGACCAGAAAAAACTTCTGGGAGACCTCCCAGCCCCCTTCTGGAAGTTTGCGGGAGGCCCCCAAGAGGACCAGGGGAGGTCCCCCGGCGGTCTCCCCCCAGATTCCAGGAGGTCGTCAGGACACCGCTAGGAGGCTTACTCTTCGGGGCCCTGAGGCCAGTGGATCACCGGATGCAGTGCAGCTACGGTGGCGACGGCAGCAGAGTCGCGTTCAGCCTCGGCGAAACATTTGCCGCGCGTTTCCAAGCTGGGTGGCTGGTTGGGGGCCTCCGACGGCCACGCCGGGACGTTTGAACTTTGGGTCTTTCCGCTCCAAGAAAACATGGTGGACGTAAGGAAACTTCTGGTTCCTTAATAAATGCCCCCCGGGGGGCCTCGATGGTCCCAAAGTGCGAGACATCTGTCGATCCACCAAATTTAATAAGGAATTCCCGGGGTCCCAAGTAAGGTCCTTACTTGGGTGCCTGGCGGTCCCAGAATTCAGGGCCTTACTTGGGTCCTCGGCGGTCACAGGTCCCACAGGTTCCACAGGTCCCACGTGTCCCAGATGTCCCACAGGTCCCATAGGTCCCACGGGTCCCGCAGGTCTCGAAGGTCTCGCCGGTCCCGCAGGTCCCGCAGGTCCCGCAGGTCCCACAGGCCGCACAGGTGCCACAGGTGCCACAGGTCCCGGAGGTCCCGCAGGTCCCGCAGGTCCCACAGGTCCCACAGGTCCCTCAGGCCCAACAGATCCCACCGGTCCCAAGGTCTTGCAGGTGTCACAGGTCCCGCAGGTCCCACAGGTCCCACAGGTCCTACAGGTCTTACAGGTCCCACAGGACCCACAAGTCGCAAAGAAGGTGCCAAAGGTCCCACAGGTGTCGCAGGTCCTACAGGTCCCACGCGTCCCACAGGTCCCAAGGGTCCCACAGGCCTCGCGGGCCCCACAGGTCCCACAGGCCCCACAGGTCCCACATGTTTCACATGTCCCATAGGTTCCGCAGGTTCCGCAGGTCCCGCGTGTCGCGCAGGTCTCGCAGGTCCCGCAGGCCCCGCAGGCCCCGCAGGTCCCGCAGGTCCCACTGGGTCCCACAGGTCCCACAGGTCCTACAGGTCCCACAAGCCCCACAGGTCCCGCAGGCCCCACAGGATCCACAGGGTCCGTAGGTCCCACAGGTCTCGCAGGTCGCGCAGGACCCGCCAGTCCCGCATACTCCATAGGCCCCGCAGGCCCCGCAGGTCCCACAGGTCCCACATGCAGGTCCCGCACGTCCCACAGGTTCCGCAGGCCCCACGGGTCTTACAGGTTTTAAAGGTCTCGCAGGTCCCGCATGTCCCGCAATTCCCACAGGTCCCGTAGGTCCCAGAGGACCCATAGGTCCAACAGGTCCCACAGGACCCGCAGGTCCCGCAGGTCCGCAGGTGCCACAGGTCCCACAGGTATGAATGACCCCACAGGTTTCACAGGTTCTCGCAGGTCCACCGGTCGCACATGTCCCGCAGGTCCCGCAGCTCTCACAGGTCCCACAGGTTCCGCAGGTCTCCCAGGTCCCTCAGGTCCCACAGGTCCCACAGGCCCCCCGGGTCCCACAGGTCCCGCAGGTCCGACAGGTCCCGCCGCCAGCACAGGTCCCACGAGTCCCACAAGTCCCGCAGGTCGCGCAGGTCCCACAAATCCCGCAGGCCCAGCATATCCCACATGTCCCACAAGTCCCACATGCCCCACATGTCCCACAGGTCCTACAAGTCCCGCAAGCCCCGCAGGCCTCGTAGGTCTGGCAAGTCCCGCAGGCCCCGCAAGTCCCAGTCCCCCCAGGTCCCACATGCCCCGAAGGCCCCACAGGTCCCACAGGCCCGATAGGGCTTACAGGTCCTACAAGGGCCACGGGGTCCGCAGGTCCCGCAGGTTCCGCAGGACCCGCAGGTCCCACAGGTTTCGCAGGTCGCGCAGGTCCCGCATGTCCCACACGTCCCACAGGCGACGCATGCCCCACAGGCCCCTCAGGCCCTACAGGTCCCACAGGCCCCACAGGTCCACCCAGCCCCTCCGGTCCCACAGGTCCCACAGGTCCCACATGTCGCGCCGGTCCCGCAGGCCCCGCAAGTTCCGCAGGTCCCACGGGGCCTACAGGTGCCACAGGCGCCACAGGTCCCACTGGTATCGCAGGTCCTGCAGGTCCCACAGGTCCTACGAGTCCCTCAGGTCCTACAGGTCCGACAGGTCAGGCAGGTGTCGCAGGTGGCGCAAGCCCCGCAGGTCCCACAGGTCCCACAGGTCTCGCAGGGACGACAAGTTTTGCAATTTCGAAGGCCCCACAGGTCCCACCAGGCCCACGCGTCCCACAGGTCCCAAGGGTCCCACAGGTCTCGCAGGTCCCTCAGGTCCCACAGCTACCGCAGCCCGCACAGCTCCCACAAGTTCCACAGGGCTCACGCTCCCAACATTTCTCCCAATTCCGGCAGGTTCCACAGGTCCCGCAGGTCCCACAGGTCACCTTTGGTGTTATTAAGATGGTTCCTGGGGTGATGTTTGCAAGGCGAAGGCGCGTGTAATTGCATGCGCTGCGCGCAGTGCAGAGTGAACCGTGAGTGCAAGTGCGAAACGCTGCCATGTAAATTTGGGATTGCGCCCGTCCTGGAATCTTTTTGTGAACTTGCGGTTGTGGTGGTTTCCATCGTGGTCAC